TTTAAAGTCCTCTGTGAGATACAGTACTTTTTTTAAAACAACGTTAAAAAGAAACCACTTCTGATTTTTTTTATTAACAACAAAATCAAATCTGTCTGGGTGCCATATCGGTTTCTAAGTTACACTGGCTTTCTTTTCAGCAAAATGTTCATCATGTCATGAATGATAATTTCAGAAGGGATGGGCATGAAAGCAGAAGAGCTTAACATGAATATTTGTCTGTGAAAATAGCAAGCCTAATTAGAATAATCAAAGACAGTGTTCTCTTATCTACTTCATTAAAAATTATTATTTCATTAAAATGTGTATTTTCATGCAAACAATGCAGCTGCATATTTCTTTTCAGAACATTTCCAAATCCTAGATCAGAACCAGCTTTGATGGTGCTGATAAAAGCCATGAGCTTTGCATATTTGATGCTCTGGGTCAATAGCAATAGCTGTTGATGACTGAGTGATGGATTTGGGTTGAGTTTAATTTTAATTTATTTTTTAAAAATAGTTGTAAACTACTGTCGTTGCAAAATGCAGGCGGTTTTAAGAACTGAAAGAGGGATTCTTTCAGCTAAAACAGAAATTGGTTGCAGTTGGAAAGCTACCTGATTAAGCTATCCCTTAATCAGTAGGACCATCATTTATAAAAACTAGCTTTAATAAGCAAGTTAGTGTGGCAGATCTCTACGACAAGTGGTTTCAAGCAAATTCTATCATAAGAAAGAGTACCAAGTTTACAGATCAAAGAGACCTGGGTAGCTTCTCTTGCCAGAAGCTTTTTCTTTTTCAGCTGATGGCTTTTCCTTATTTCATCTCCAGATTTAGAGAGTTTTTGCTGACGTTTTTAAACATTAACATTAAAAGTAGATTTGTGTTTATTATCTGGTGTTCACTGAATTTTAAGTAGGCAAGTTGGCTATGTAGCATCAAGCAGAATTGGGCGCATACAAAAGAATTTCTCCCTCCCCGATAAGAGTTTCTAATTGAAATAATGGCAATAGGAAATATTCCAGTGAGGCCACATATGGCAGCAGTTTTGTCAGTCATGCAATGGTGGTAACCAAACCAGAACCATTCAGAGTCACATCATTTACTGAATTTCTGTAGCCGCCCAACTCAACCAAGTGATTCTGGGTGGCTTACAATTCTAAAATTCTAAAGGAATGTAAATAGGTTAAACATTGAAATACTAAAAACATCCACAAAATACATAAGTACAAACAGAAGCTGTGATGATAAATCAATTAATAGTAAAGCCAAATAACACACTCACACACTCAAAGCCCCAGGCGCAGGTACATAGCCAGGATTTTAAAGCCTTTCAAAAAGCCAACAGGGTTGGAGTTGGTGAAATCTCCAAGGGGAGAAGGTTCCATAAGGCAGGGGCTACAGCTGTGAAAGCCCGTCTTCTAATTCCCGCCAGTCAACACCAGCTGACAGGATCTGTAGCATACGCAATCTGTTTAGTTGGATTTGACAAGTAGAAAATCTTGGGAAAAGATCCAAAGGGACATAGAGCTGTAAACGTGAGTGAAAATATCACTCTTGTTTGAACCAGACAGGGGACTGCTATAACTTCTCTCTAAATTCCTTCCTTCAGTTTTAGAATGACTCTATGGAGGCTGAACTATCACATATAATTTCATATTATAATCAGCTTTTTTCCATTAAATTAAAAAGACCACTTAAAAAAGGACAGTAGAGTGTAAAGATAAGTCACAAAGCAAATCATGTTGCAAAACCTTATGCTTTAATATGTGAATTGTGCATGAAAAATTCTTTTAAAAAAGAATATAATCAATACCGCACCAATAATGTTATAAGACAGCATAGAAGAAGATTGCTCTCCACCTCACCGATCCTCTGAGGATAGAAGCATTGCCTGTGCAATGTGCTATGATAGCTGCCTAGGATTAGAACTTGAGGAACTTGACCTAGCATAAAAATCCTGCAATATGTCAACGATATGGCATGGAAAGGTAGCTGGCAGAAGCAAAGTGAATCCTGCATACAAACAACTGAAAACCGAATTTCTTTTCCTTGTAAACCTGAATCCCAGATACAGTATCTGATTCTTTCTTTAAAGGGCTCTAAAAACAATGTCCTAGCAAGTTCAGGACGTCAATTTGTTTATTTTATTTTACCGATTTATATCCTGTCTTCATTATTTTTTGCAAATAACTCAAGGCAGTGAACCTATCCAACACACTTTCCTCCCCCTATTTCCCCTACAACAACAACCCTGTGAGATCAATTGGGCTGAGAGAAAGTGACTGGCCCAATGTCACCCAGTTGGCTTTCATAGCTAAGGCGGTACTAGAACTCACTTTCTCCCAGATTCTAGCCTAGTACCTTAACCACTAGATCAAACAGATTTTCTTCAGGTTCTTTTCCACATAGATTGAAATTTGTCTTCTGAAATTAAAGGGCCTAAATCAGCTTACATGTAGATAAATTTCAGCCAAAGATTGAGGAAATGTAGCACCATATTTGATACACATTAGAGCAGTGTTTCCCAACCTTGGTCAATTGAAGATGTGTGAACTTCAACTCCCAGAATTCCCCAGCCAGCAAATTCTGGGAGTTGAAGTTCACACATCTTCAAGTGGTCAAGGTTGGGAAACACTGCATTAGAGCAAGGGTCACCCAACCCCCAGGCCACGAATCACTAGCAGCCTGCGGCCTGTTTGGAATCCGGCCACCGAAGCAGCAGGTAAGCACATGAAGCTTCATTTGCACATGGTGTGGAATTTAGGTTGAGCACACAAAACCATTTCCTCTGCCGCCAAAACAGCCAAAGCCACTGCCCGTCTGGGAATCAAAAAGGTTGGGGACCCCTGCCTTTGAGAACTACAAAAACAAAACATATGAGAACACACTTCATGTCCTTTGTAAGAGCAAATTTGGATTCTGCACCACAGCTAGAAAACCAGATTTGTTTCATGACATGTATGGCACCAGCCGCATCTTAGCCTAGCATAGAAAAAATATATATAGTAACAACCACACTTCTCTAAGGCCCTTCAATTTGGAGGCAACTTTCCCCTGGCATTGTTTGGAAGACTACCACCAAAAAGTTAAAGCGGTTCACATTTTTAATTAAATTCCCTTCTAATTGTGACCTGTAGGATTTTTCCATCACAGAGAGGGCAGCTGTGTCATCTCTGTACAAAAAGAAAAAGTAAAAAAAAACAAAACGATTGATATTTGTTAATTGGGTAATTAATTGGTTTATGTTTAATTATTATATTTTATGAAGCATTCTGATTATTGTTAGTTACCTTGAAGCAGCCGACTAGCAAAGGGGACGTCATCCACCAGCTTCTATAAGACTGTTTTGTGAAGAAAGCTTGTTCATTCAGGGAAAGGGAATTTTTCATTTTCCTTCTCCCCAGAATGTTTTAATCCTATCAGGATTTGAGAACAATATTTTATTTTATTTGTGCAAGTAGGCCTCAAACCATCTTTTGCTTTTAGCCTGCTGATTCTACTAGCTGTGGTTTTAAAGTAGACAATGTAACTCTTGTTTTTTTCAAACTATTGTATTTCCAGTTGTGCGAAAAGAAACCCCAGAATTCCCCCTATGGGATTATCTGCAATCATCAGCTACATCTTCTGCATTTATGTTTCCCTGAGACATGCTTCACGGTCTCATGTATTCGAAAAGAATAATGTAAACATCCCATTTTTTTCTTTTAAATGGAAGAAAGCTTTAGAGACCGACGTTAAAATGGTTCGGTGCCTTTGTCGATTTATGCAAGCAGCCACTAGAATCAAACAGATCTGCTATAATAAGTCATTTATATAAGCTTCCTCAATTTACATGGCTCTTTAAAATAACAGAAGGCTCTCTCTCTTCATATGAGAACTTACAGCCAGAAAGAGACATACTACAAGGCTTAGACCTTATTAAGCTGAAGCTTTTAAAATATTGGTTGATGAATCACATGATTTACAAATCCTGGGCTTAAAATGTGCATTTTTAAAGAACTGTTCCCTACTGAGAAGATTCTAATTCTGACATTATTAGTGGATAGGGTCTGCATTCGTGCAATGCATCTTTTTTTTTTTCTTTATACTGCCTGGCTTTATCTTCCATGCAGTTTCAAAAGGAAAATGTCACTTTCCTTAGGCTCCATGAAAATAATTACCTGTGAAAGTAATGTATAATAATTTAGATTAATTGATTAAAAAGCATAGCATAGGCTTTGATTAGCCTGGAACTAACCATTTATAACATTAGACTCCAAAGGTGACGCATGTTTAAGTGTACAAAACCATCTGCCTGTTATTGCTCTTAGTCAAGCCAAACTGAAGAATCTGCAGAAATAAAGAAGAAAGTGAATATATTTGTTTGTTAGCTTTATAGCAGATCTCACCTTTATTTTGTATGACAGACAGCATATAATGTACCAATCTCCTATTTCCTTCCAACAACCCTGTGGGGTGGGTGGTGCTGAGGAAGAGTGACTGATCCAACGTCACCCAGCTGGCTTTCATTTTTAAGGGACAAGCTACCTAGTCCAGCAACCTAGCCAGTACACCTGGGGAGCGTGGTGGCTTACATAGGATGCTGGGTTGGAGGTTAGCAAGCCCATGTTGGAGATGTGGGTGCTGTTGCGTGGCGGGGTAAGCTCCCATCATTCACTCCAGTTCCTTGATGGGGACATGAATCCTTTGAACCTGGAAGCACCTTAGGTGCCTCTGACATGAACGGGGCAGGGGACCAGTATACTAAACTGCCTCAGAAATTAAACTGGAGTGACACTCACACATATACAGCTATTTATTTTTATTTATTTGTTAAACTTATTTGCCACCTCTTGCCGTGGGTCTACTCTAGGCAGCTTACAATAATAAAAAAGAAAGAAAATGAAAGGAATGTAAAATAATACAACACTAAAATAAACAATGAAAAAGAGCACAACGAAAATATATACCAAGTCTCTGCCTTTGTTTTCTTTTGTAATTGTCCTGCTCGCATGTCTTTTCATAATTTCTTGATAGATTCCCGAAGAGCATGATTTGGAGAGCCAGATCCGGAAAGAGAGGGAGTGGAGATTTCTGCGCAATGCTAGAGTCCGAAAGCAAGCGCAGAAAATTATCCAAAAAGGTGATTTCCCCCTTTCTTGCTTTTTCTGATTCCCAAAAGAAAAAAAAATGACATTTTCCCCCCTATGTGTATGTGCTCCATCCTGCTTCAACAATGCACCCTTGAGCCTCAATACTAATCATTGATCTTTGTTGCCAACCTGCTAATCTGATTATGTGCTCCCCAGACATCTGGCATACTATTCTATGAAGATAAAGTAGAAGTTACATCTCAATTACAAGAAAGGATGTTGCCAGCTAAATGGCAATTTTTCCCACTGCTGCTAAATGGCAGAATTAAAGAATGATAACGTCCCTAATGCTTTCAAGGTTTTCTGTAGTTTCTTATGTATTGGCATTCTTTATAGATTTTTTTCCCTGACTGTGCCTTTGGATTCAAGTCTATTCTGTGTTTTACTGAAAATTCACCTGGCTTATTTATAACTCTTTATGTATTTGCAAATTATTGTTAACTGAGATTGAGTTCTTTGCATCTTGCTGATGTGGCCCCTAAAATTGCATAGCAATGGTTAGATGTGACATTTGAAAAACAATGAGAATTATTATATATTATGTAATAATTAGAATAGTGAGTCAGAGGGAGTGAATATGTGTTGCTCACCTACATTTTCAGCACGACACAAGATGGTTTTTACCAGGAATGAGAGAGAGTGGGTGCTTTCCCATCTTGAGTTATCAGCTGGAGAAATATTAGTGCAAAATATTAATCTTCTGAGAGAGATGATCTGTCTCTTACATGTAGCTCAGTTCTTTTGTAACTGAAGTGAGTTCATTTACCTTTATTGATTTGAGGATATTTTTTTTAGAGGTAGGGTCTTTCTACCATGCTTACTGTATGCACCCCCTTTTTTTTTCCTGTACCTAAGGGTTTCTCACGGCAAAAACTTGCTTTTGTATGAGTCGGTCATAATCCTTAAGACCTTTTATCCTTTTGTTTTTATTTTTTAATGGAACAGTTTTCAACCGTTTAGTAATGTGTTTATGACACCCATCTATTTATTTTGCCTGATACACAAAATGGTCTATTAATCAATTTATGCAGAGCTTTAAGCTCTAGATTTCTCAGGTAAGGAGTTGCAAGCAATAAAAGAAATCTGGCTGTCCTCTTTCAGTCAGTCAGGAAATACACATATGCTAAAGTACATCAGATGTACGATTGCTGGGTCATGGTTTCCTTTTTTGACTAGATGAAGATAAATTAATAAACATTAGTGGCCAAAATTGTGGAAACCTTTTGGGAAAAGTGTACAGTAGAAATGCCATCTTTGGTTAAGTTTCCACCAATTTTTCTTCTAATTTCTTTATAACTATAGCCTTGTTCACTTAATAATACTACTTTACATCGCTTTCTGGGCAAGCAGTCAACTCTTTGCACCATTACTTTAATTTTATTACGTTTTACAAGTCACTAAATGAAAGAACATCAAAAAAACCAACCAACTTGATAGCGATCACATAACGCACTGACAAATGTCCTCCTCTCAACTTCAGTACATGACATCAATAACTGAAACCTAATGTGATCTGATTGGCTCATTGCCAAAACAAGATGACACCTAATTGGCTCTCTAAACACTCATGCTCATTGGCTACAATCAGATGAAGGAAAGCTACCTGATATCAACCTAAGCAAGTTGTGTTTCCTTTTTCTGGTTATTTGGCTATAATGTTTCATAGAATACAGTACAGATAATTGAACAAACTTTGTTGCATTACATTCTTGATCAAATTATCTTTCCATTGATATATAATTTTATGGTACTACTCCCCCCAAAAGTAGTGTTATTAGCTATCAAACTTCAAAAATACACTTTTCCCAAAAGGTTTCCACAATTTTGGCCACTACTGTATCTGGAGGAAAATGGAAGGGCTGTGTAATTTTTCCGTTTAATTTGAAGAGTTTTCTTATGCTATAGATATTTAGATATTTTTTTGTAAAACAGTAAGCAATGCCCAATCAGTTTAGTGAACTATAAGAGATTGATGCTAATATTCTTTCTGAAATACTTTTTAGGTATTTCAAGACTAGATGATCAAATCTTTCTGAACAGGAACCCCGGAATGCCTTCCGTAGTCAAGTTTCATCCATTCACCCCATGCATAGCAGTGGCTGACAAAGATAGCATCTGGTAAAATACTGATTTTAAAGTCAATATCATCTTATCCGATCTGGTGCCTTCTTCTTGCTCCTGAGGGAAGGCCTGATAAAACTGTCATCTCGGTTGAGTATAGATTTTCTACACAGAGTTTCAAATTTATTATTCTTCCTGCAAAAGCTGAAAGTACAAGTAATCAAAAAATATTAAGCACTTGGGGGGGAGGAGCAAGCTATTTGATTTGGAGCCATTTTATAGAATGATATCCTGGATACCTAAAACCAGGTTGATTAATGGATTCCACTATATTTTATTTAACTTGTTCTTACTTTTTTTTCCCTTCTTTGCCCAGTTTTTGGGATTGGGAAAAAGGGGAAAAGTTGGACTATTTTCACAATGGAAACCCACGTTACACTAGGATCACTGCCATGGAATATCTGAATGGACAAGACTGTTCTCTACTCCTGACTGCTACAGGTTGGTATATTATTTTTATGAAAAAGCAGATAATACAACTAAGAAACATCAGAAGTTTTTCTGCCTTGCCATCTTACTGATTCATTCAGTCTTAGACACAATATCTCTCTGTTTATTTGTTTCCACGCATTCTGCTAGCCAACTTTTGAGTCATCCCCCGGGCTGTTATCACACAGCAGACCATGATAATCATATAAAAATGATCCTATGAGTAGTTTATTATTTTCTTCACCCATCCTCATTTCTTCTCAAGTATGTAAAACATGTTGAAAGTAGGCGGGAAATGTTCTATATTAGATTATCCTCCATAATCATTCTCCTGACAGTAATTGCACGAATTAACACCATGTCATATCTTTGCCTCACACTTTCTGTTGGTATGGCTGTTCCAGAACATTCCCCCTCTGGGACTAATGTGCATTATCTGAAGCTTAAGAGCCACATCCACTCCTTGGGTGCAGCTCTTGAAGACCAACAAAAGTTGTGGGTTTTTTTTACCAAATTGTAATTTTTAATATGGAAGAAGGGAGTAATTATTAAATATGTGGCTAGAAAGTAATTCTTTTAATTATATTTAATTATAATCTAAATCAAAAAATAGCCTTCCTGCTACTTTTTACAATGCAATCCTTGACAAATTATTCAAAGACCAGATGGGGCATCCATACTAGAAGATGTTGTACAAGACTTCAGGGCAGGTTAGCAATGGAAATAAGCTTTTCTAGTTTTAAAGAAAAATATCTCCAGGAATATTACATTATATAGCAATTTACTTCACCTTAAAGTCCCCAAAGAGAATTATTATTATGAACATATTATTTATAGGGTAGATATTACCTAAGCGTATCCTTCTCATAGCCCTTATTTGTATTAGGAGCATGATTACATGTATAAGCAAGGCACAGGTATTCCTATGATTGCTGTGGGGACTTGGGTATATAAATGAAAGAGATTTGCCAGTCCTAGAAAATAGATTGTATTCAGTTAAGGGGAAATTGTATTTTTTTAAAAGTTATCCATTTAAAGATTTGAAATTGAATTTTTTTTTAAATTATTAAGCACCTAGTGTTTAGTTCTTCATCTTCAATGCAGACAATCTTCATCTTTCTTTAGACAATCATCTAAGAATGTTTCCAATAGGGGTGAAGATACTATGGGTAGTTCCAAGTGTGCTGTATGAAGAGCCTAGATCAGTGGTGGCAAACCTATGGCATGGGTGCCAGAGGCGGCACTCAGAGCCCTCTCTGTGGGCACACGTGCCGTCGCCCCAGTCCTAGGCCTTCAGCTGGGTTTTATAAAACCTTTTTGCTTTAGGCCTCCGCCACCGTGTATATAAAAAAAAGGTTCAATCAATCAGTCAATTTCAACTTCTCGTGGGGAAAAAAAATATCTTGCAAAGTTGGAATTGATTGAACTTTTTAGTCCCGCCCAGTCTGCTGTTACCACCGCAGCCACGCCCACCCAATGGGCCACACCCACCTAATGGGCCACACCCACCCACCACCCGACGATGCATAAGTGGGTTTTGGGTTGCAGTTTGGGCACTCGGTCTCTACAAGGTTCGCCATCACTGGCCTAGATCAGGGTTCTTCAAACTTGGCCTTTTTATGACTTATAGACTTCAACTCCCAGAATTCATCAGCCAGGCATGGCTGAGGAATTCTGGGAGTTGAGGTCCACAAGTCATAAAAGGGCCAAGTTTGAAGAACCCTGGCCTAGATGTTGATTTTTATCACAGGGGTTCCTGCTAGCATTATGCTGTTCTTGGAAAGAAGCACAGCCACTTCTGGATCCAGAGCCCTTCCATCCCTCTTAAATATACTTTTTGGTAACTGATCTTACCTCCATATATGTCCAAAACATATAGCTCTTCCAGGCTAAAAAGCCCAGTAGACCTCCTTCTTCCCCTGTGCTAATAGGCACCATCAGCCAGCCATATATTCACCCCTTCATTCCCTCCCCTGTTTTCATTGGCTTCTTCTGCCCAAGTCTATATCTAAGATGATTAAAAGTTTATATAGAGATTAACTCTAAAGCTTTTGAAAATGGTATGTCTCTTTTATTTAGATTCACTTACTCTAACCTAAATTAAAATGTTCTGTACTAGGATAAGATTGTTTGCTATATGTCCCAAAGCCACTCTTTTTTATATTGCTTTGTATGTTCTTTTTGTGTGTGTGTGTGTCTTGTCTTCAAGATGATGGTGCTATAAGGGTGTGGAAGAACTTTGCTGACCTGGAGAAGAATCCAGAGATGGTAACAGCCTGGCAGGGTTTGTCAGATATGCTACCAACAACACGTGGTAAGTATGACCATAACACTCTTTTCTGAATGTGAAATATAACAATAATTAGTCTTGGTCTGAAGCGAGGCTGGGTAACCTGGAGCTGTCTTCTTTGCTTCTGCTTTCAGTAATATCTTGTAATTAGACTTTTGGCTACCATCGACTGACGTGTTAAGAGATTTCTTCCTAGCCATAGTTTCAGAAAATTATAAACATAGGCCTAAAGACGCTACTTGTGGGATAGATAGAGAGGCATTTTTTAGTAAAGTGAATCAGGACTAAAGTTGTGTTCCCACCTCCTGAACTATACTGGATTTCTTATCAGTGGAGGTCAGGCCTAACTTTTTGCTTCTTGAGAAAGAGTCATAGAGAGCTGCACTGAGCACTGCCCTTCTTGAACTTCTCACAGCAGTTGGTTATCTCCTTCTAATTTGGGGTTTATCCAGAACCTCACCTCTTGCTGCTGTTCTGTTTATTTGCTGATTCTTCCTTGACCCAGCTTTGCATGTTTCCCATATCACTTTGCTTAGCCCGCTTTGACTTCAGCACATACAGCACCGCTTCAGTTCTTTCCTACCATATGTGGGGGGAAAGGGAAGGAGAGGAAAATAGGAAACATTACAATCTGGGTCTTCTATAAGTAGCATAAATGGTCCCGGCACAGTACGGGCTCTGGCAAAGCAAGAAACTTGTCACTATGCATACTTGGCGGAGGCAAGTTAAGTAACACACACACAAACAGAAAAACCTCTCTCAAATATTTTAATAGAAAGGTGTTTGCTCTGCTCCCAAGACATGAGGATTCATTAAAGCACTGACAGTTCCTATTTCTGAGCTGATACATCTCTGCCCTAAGAACTGAGAACTGCATCTCTGAAAATCTCCTGTTGCTATACTGCTACTTTGCTAACCTCTTAACATATTTGCGCTAACACAACCAGTAATCAGTAATGATTTGACATGTCAGCATAAAACATCTACGCCCTTTGAACTTTATGGTTTGAACACTTACAGAAGTAACATCTACATATTTTTCTTTAATGTCACCTTCCCTCACACTGCCCTGCTTTTCCTGCATAATGTGAGTCAAGCTATTGATAGAAATCCACAGGAAATATCTCACTTAGATCTAAAAAACACTAACAACCTATTCTTGGCTTTTTCCATAAAAATCCTGAATTGCTCAGACAATCGGAAAGCAGAGGTCCATTTGCAGTAAATCCAGCTTTCTATAACATGCCTCTCCATGTTTGCAGAACGTGGAGTCCTAAAGGGCACATTTTAGGCATCTGGCAAAAATCCTCCATTTAAAAGGCCATTTGTCAGCAGCCAAGCAAAGATTGCATTGTGCATTGCATTGTAAATAGAAGCGTACTAGGCTCACATCTTGCTGATCTTTTAGCATCCTCCCATCTCTGAAATAATCATTAAATAAATAATAAGATGTATCTTGTCTAAGGCATCTATATAATGCCCACGCATTCAGTTACTGTACATTTCAATTAATTTTATTAGCAGTGTTTGACACTGCCAAAAGAACAGTTCCTGGAAATTCAGTTTATTCTTGTGCAGCTTATTTAAAAATTCAAACTGAGTGATAAAAGGCAATCACCAAATCATTAAAAAAATATACAGTTAAAATGCAGGAGGAAGTGATTAAGTTAATTGCCTGGGTCACTCTTAAATAGAAAGACTAATCTCAGCATAGTACAAATTCGTCTAGTGATACAGACAGACAGACAGACACACACACACAAGCCTTCAATAGCTTAGAACATCCTGGCTATAAGTTTATAAAAGATAAAGTCCCATGTATCTGGAGGGTACAAAACAGGAAGCTACTACCGATATAAGACATGTTGTTTTGCTCTAGAAGAGTTAAGATGTAATAGATATTGATTCTGCAATATTTAAAATTGATAGTCTAGTCCCATAATAATATGCAAATCCTGTTCATCATTATTTTAATACATTGAAAAGTGTGAAATCTTACATGAAGAAATACTATCTTCTGAGACATCAGAAATACTGTTTTTAGTTTATGTAATTCCTTTAAGAAGGTGCAGATACTGTAATTGTAAGGGGCAATATGAAGTATACTGTTTGTACTATAATGTTTTCAGTTCTGATGTTAGTAGCCAATTAGCTAAATAAAATCAGAATTTGAGCTATCTTTTGGATACCAGTTCTGACAGAAAGAGACATTTTCAGAAATTGGCTTAAAATATTAACAACCACTTAAAGAGTTCCTTATGCTTATAAGTTACTGCATTAAAAAATAGTCCAAGGCCAAAGGGAAATCATTCCTTTGATACAGTTCAGTAAATATGCATAAGCAGATGTTATTTTAATCCTGGGGCTCCAGCATAAAGATTGGGGGCCAATGCAGTTAAATTCAGTACTATCCTTGGACTTTCCTTGTGTCTGCTTCTGCAATTCATTAATAAGAGACAAGAAAATACTGACCAGATGACAAATTGTATATTGTGACACCATCATATCACAAAGCATTCTAGCTTCATTCCAGAGAAAATGGACACATATTATATGGAGTTAAGGGTAATGAAAACAAACCAACCTGCCAGCATTAAATATAGCCATGAAACCAATAAGTGGCAATAGACCTAACTTTATTTTATCAACCGTTACTTCCTCAAGAATTTGCTCCCCAAAATAAAAACACTGAAGCCCCTGATAATCTAGGGTAAAGAAGTTCTTATTTTCCCTTGACCATCTCATTTTCCCTAGCACCAGTTAAGCATCACATAATAATAACATGGTTTATCGTGTCTGATTCCCCCCTTTCCCCAATTCATAACTT